GTGTGTGTGTGTGTGTGTGTGTTTTTTTTTCCCTTTAGGGGGGGGGAATCCTTTTTACGGATTCTAGGCATAGTTGTTGGCCTGGATATGTGGCGACTCGACGCAGCGTCATACTAAAACTCGACGCTAACGCCCCTACCCACTAAACCCTAAACCCCTTTCTCTTCTATCCTCTGATCCCCCATGGTACCGCCGTCATGCTTGCTTGGGACTGGTGAGGCGTGAGTTCGAATCCCGGTGTGAGCTGGAATTTAATTTTCAGTATACATCGGTACTCATAACTCACGCCGGGCTGTACAGGCTTAGTAGTGTATCAAGGAGTTAGTAATTAATAAATTTAAAAAAAACCGTAAATATTACTTAAAATTATTATTGTCCTAAAATTACAAAATTTTTGCTTTTTGGAGATTTTTAGCATTTTCAAATGGGATTTTCTATGAGTAAGTTATTCAAAGATGGTCAAAGGAGTGTTATTTGACAAAGGAAGGAACGTGAAACGACGGTAAATCGACAGTGACACGACGATGAAACGACGGTGAAACGACGGTGAAACGACTTTGGATTCACTCCTATTTTACTGTGTAACAAAAGTGCTTTGACTGTCAAATACTATACATTTATGAACTTTTTTACAATGGTTTTACTCCATAGTTGCCATATAAAAATGTCGTTTGAACCATTTTACCAAGGTCTAATGATCTGACATATATCATATTTTGACAGTAGTGAAATGAAACAAAGTCACCAATGTTTCACAGTGCAATCACTACTGTAATACTAAGTTCTCACTGTTGACCATAGAGGGAACTACTGACTTTCTATAGCATTTTCACCGTGACCACAAAACCGCCAGGGTGGTTAGTTCTTTTTAGGCTTTCATATTGAGCACTTCTCATATTCTATAAAGTTAAAAAGTTCAAATAAACTAATAGTGATCAGTTTGTTATTTTTAACTTTATTGTTGATTTCCTTGACTAACGTGAAAAATTTTTGTAAAAATGTCTGGAATATATGCGTTTTTTTTGGACTAAATCAAAACAATTACAGACAATTAAAACTTCATACATACCTGTCCATTCACGATATGAAAATGCTAGTGTAAAATTAAAGTGGAAAAATAAACGATCAAAATTATTTGAAGTGTTAGATGCTAAAATTTTGAAAATAAGTGGTTAGTAACTATATAAATGTAAATTTGGATGGTACAAAACCAAACTATTTTTGAATTAAAAAAAATTATAATAATGTTATTCCAGATGATAAAGATCTGTTGGAAAATATTTCTGTTGATGAAAATACTGGTCGAATCCTCGATGTAACGACAAAAGCGTTTTTAAGAACTGTTTTCGTGTAAAACGGACCGACTTAAAACATAAACAAAGAACACTTGTTCAAGTTCATGAAGAAGAAATAATTGCAGATGGAAAGACAATTTTTGATGAATATTCCAAAAATAAATTGAAGAAATTATCAAATAATACTTCAATTATATCTCGAAATGGAAATCGAACAAATCAGCCATCAAAAACAGCAACAATATGGACAACAACCATTTTGGCAACAATTACAAGCATCCGACGCACATAAATATCAATGGTTTCTGGTTAACGAAAAGGAAATAATGTTAAATTATTATTCACAAAATCCTCAATATAATTATAATAATACTCAGTATAATGGTAATGCTCACGATAATCAATCGAATGAAAGCGAAAATTAAGACATTTTTCAGTATGTAATAGATACTTTTATATAGAATTTTACAAAATTCAGTCATGTACTTAATCAGTTATTAAATTAAATTAATTAATATTCATTCTAGTATGTATTGGTATCGATTTATTATTAATAAATAACATTTTTTTTCAATTGAATTAAATTCGAACTTTTTATTTTATAAATATAAGTCTGATTCAAATAAAATAAAACTATGAAATATATATATATATATATAATTCAAAATTTTTCAGTCTGATCAAAAATGAGATTTGTCTCAGGTATACGTCGTTAAAATTAAGTCAAATGTTGAGGTCGTATATGAGACATATCTCACTTTGGGCCCCGGAGTAAGAAAATTTGGTGTATTAGATAAACCTCATTTCAAATTTAAATGTCTTTTAAAAATATCTCATTCTTGTCTCAATCCGGAATATTACGTACTAAATGAAGTTTTTCCTGGCATGAGTTTTAAATGGCGAGGCTTAAACTGAGACAAACCTCATTTTATAGCATTTTAAGACTTAAAACCGTAGTTATTTTTCGACTCGTTTTTTTGTTATAATGTTCAATGTTGTATTTTAATTCAATGTCGTAAATTTAACAATTTTTATTTGTAAATCTATCATAATTAAAAAATTTACATTTTATTTTACTATGTATATAATTTCTACAAGTAATTTTTCTCCTTATTTTTCTATTTACATTTATAGAAGAATCAACAAAAGCTTCCAACTCCCTATCACTAAAATACCAAACAATTTTCTGGCAGCAATTATACGGCAGTTTAGTGATAAGAAGCTGAAACATAACTTCAGTCGCCTTCATCAACAAAACTCTCCTTCGTTCCGCAGCACAGAGTCGTCTCTTGACCAAATCATAATAATTTAAAAATCTTGATTTGTTTTCCTCCAGTGCAGCGAAGTAATTAACTGTCCTGTTGTTCAACAGTTTAACCAGCTCATCAACTTTGCCGGTCAGGAGTCGCGAAAAAGTGACATTTCCCTCGCCAATTCTGAACTGGGTCAGGAACTCCACTTGGTCGGTGATTCTCTCCTTGAATGATTCCATTTCTTTCGTGAAATCCTCCAAAAAGATCCAGCGATGGATCGGGTGCTTCAAAATAACTGCCTTATTTACAGGCAACCCGATCATGTCTCTGGTAATGGCCCACTGAACAATCGAGTAGGTGATCGACTCGAAGTTGTCCTCAAGATCGTTGATGTAGCTCACATCACCAACAATATCCGGAGTAAAGCTGTTGCTCTTTAATTTTCCAGAAAAAACGGTCCTCAGGTCAATTTCTGCTGGGTTGCAGTCAACTTTGTTGAGTAAATACTCAACTCCGCAGTGGAACCCAAACATAACCATATAATGGAGAACTGAGGAGTGCGATTTGTCCGTAGGAAAACGAGCCTCAACATTAGCTCCGGAATTTATCAGGAGTTTAACAATCTCCATTTTTTGTTTTTGGCGACTATTTTCCTCCTTGCTGTACATCGAAATCCTCCTATTGGCATTGATGATCGTGAAATGCAGCACAGGTTGTCCGAAAACATCACGCTGGTTGACATCGGCGCCGTTTTCGATCAAAAACTTGACCAATCTGTCATTATTAACCTCGACAGCTTGCATTAACGTCGTTTTGCCCAAAGATGTTGTCAAATTAACGTCTGCACCATATTGCAACAGTAATTGTGTCATCCCGTTAAACTGCTGGAGGATTGAGCAGTGTAACAACGGGATATTGTGACCCATCCACAAATTACTGAGCATTTGGTTTTTGAAAACTTTAAAAAATCTGTCGCTAAACCGAGCATTTACCTCAGCACCGTGAGACAGAAGCAGAGCCGCTATTTCCTCGTGGCCTTTAAACACCGCGATTTGGATTGGCTGAGCGGCGCCATCTGTTGTCGGAGACACACTCGCGCCGTTTTTTAAAAGTACTTCCGCGCACTCGAAGTGGTTTTTCAAAACTGCGAGATGAAGAGGAGTAAATCTTTTGCCTTTTGGTTCACTTATCACAGAATTTACTGACGCGCCGTTTTGAATTAAAAGTTTCACAATTTCAGAGTGGCCGTGCTTCGCCGCTACGTGAAGTGGCGTCCACGTTTTTTTGCCAGGTTTGTTTACGTCGGCACCTTTTTTGATAAGCACTCGCACACTTTTTATGTCGCCCAAAATTATCAACGAGTTGAGCGATAATTTTTTTGAAAGGATTGTATTTTTGTAGCTCACTTTCATTTTTAACAATAAATTTTATTATTTTATTTAAGTTGAAAAACTTTATCACTACTTTGAACACTGGGTTGGTTTTATCAACTTTGAGAGTAGCAAAGTCGTTTTGAAACGCAACGGTCACTGATAAAGTGAGTATAGTATGGGGTAAGTGTGCAGTGGGTCTGGTTGGAAGTTGGAGGGGTAAGTGGGACCGATAGCTTAGCCAATAAGAATTCCTGAAGCCCCTCTTTAGGACCTAATGCCCGTAAATGGCGCACGTGATCTAGTTTTTTTTTTTTGTGAAAGTTAAAAAAGGATTAATTAGAATAATTATGATTAGATAAGGTATAATTAATTTTATGAAAAAAAAAAAAATTGGGAAAATATAAAAATAATAAAACTATAAGAAAGTTAGTTGTGGAAAATTTTTTTTTATTTATATTGATAAGCATAAAATCATATTTTTCATTATAAAAGTTAATTAATTTTGTTTTAATATTAAAATTATAATAACTCTATACAAATATTAAATAATCAATTTAAAATTAAAAATTATACAATGCGTTTCATTGATTCTTTACGGTCGGAAATTTTATAGAAAATGGAAACATCAAATTTTGGAAATCTGTGAGTAAGGAAATCAATAAATGAAAAATATGGAAAAATAAGATTGTCTATTTGTTTATTTGTCTATTTGTTTATAATTGTTTATAATAAAATAAACAAATGAATGATAAAAATTTAGAAAAAAAAAACATTCACGAATTAGAAAATAATTGGATAAGATTATGAAAAAAGATCTAAACATAAATCTTGGTTTTTTATAAAAATTATAGGGAAATCTGTTGTCGACAACTTCAATAGTTCCTGGAGAAGCGGTCACAAGAGCTGGTGGCAGTTATCAGCCTTTAAAAATATTTAATACCAGTATCGGGAGATAAATCTTTATATTTTTAAAAAATCCAGGACACAACGTCGCAAATAACTGCACAACTTCCTGGAGCAGCGGTCGCAGGAGCTGGTGGCAGTTATCGGCCCTCGAAAATAGCTTTTATCAAAATTAAAAAAAAAAATCTTGGTGTTTTTTAAAAATTAAGGACTAAACGTCGCAAATAACTGCACAACTTCCTGGAGCAGCGGTTGCAGGAGCTTGTGGCAGTTATCGGCCCTTAAAAATATTTAATACCAGTATCGGGAAACAAATTTATATTTTTAAAAAATCCAGGACACAACGTCGCAAATAACTGCACAACTTCCTGGAGCAGCAGTCGCAGGAGCTGGTAATTGTAGGGATATCTGTCGCCGACAACTTGACAACTTCCCGGAGCAGCAGTCACAGGAAAATATATCTCCTCTCTGTTATATTTTGTATTATAAATTCCTTCGCGCTCAATTCGTATGATGACTACGTCTACAATTGTCTTTCTTATAAATTATCAGAATTTATAGTTATCCGTATTTACAGATTTCCATAATTACAGATATCAAAATTTATCAGTCTATATTAACAGATTTCCATATTTTAAGTTTACCAATATTAATGACTGTCTATTTTTTTATATTTCTAAATTTATAATTGTCTTTTTTTCAACTTGTCTGAATTTATTCTTTTCTTTTTTTTTAAATATCAGTCATTTTAGATATTTATATTCTGATGCGTCTAATTTCACGGAAATCTTTTTTTTTGATTTTATAATTTTACGCTTATCTTTTTTAAAATAATTCTAATTATTTTGATTACTACATTTTTTCATTGCTATTTTTTAACTAATCGATATTGCAAAGTATCCTCAATAAGACACATCATTTTTTTATTATTTCTGAAATCTTATTTTTCCATATTTTTCATTTATTGATTTCCTTACTCACAGATTTCCAAAATTTGATGTTTCCATTTTCTATAAAATTTCCGACCGTAAAGAATCAATGAAACGCATTGTACAAATAATGCACCTAAAAAATTTTCAATAATAAATTATTCATCAATTTAAATCCTTCTATTATTCTACATCTACTCAGTAAATATAAAACAATATTCCCTGGCTTTGAAATAAATAAAAACTATGCTTAAAGAGAAAAGTTTAAAATTGCAAATAAAGAGATTACTAAATTTTAATATCGTGCAATTATTTCAAAAACTTTTAAAAATTAAATACAAAGAAAAGTGAATTTAGAGAGCTCTCTGTATTGTGAGTCATAATAAAGAGATTAAAATAAACAGCATTGAGTATGTTTAATACTATTGAAGCCTGAAGCTGTAAATTATCTAGGTATATATTTGTCCTTTTTTACGTATATATACAACTACCTTTTCCTAATTTCCCGTTGACATTCTACGTGACCTCTGGTAATTCCTCTTGTTGACACTATCTTCCTCGAAAATTTTGTTGGGGTAATGACTCTTTGAGACAAGCCAAGTACAAAGTCATTAAGTAACGAAAAAATTATAATCTTTTAAGTATTATTTATTAGTTGTAGTAAATATTTAAGGATTATTATTACAATAAGGTATAAATATTGTGAAATTTAAAAGGAATTTTTATGTTTATCGTAAACATTTTTGTTACCGCAATTTACTTTTTAATATTTAATTTTTACGAAAATAAAAAGATGAAAGACATTAAGACACATCCGGTGAAAACTCTTCAAAA